AATCTGAATGTGCTTTTGTTTTAAGTTTTCCATTTCCTGTGGTCAGATTAAGACACTATATTCAACTCTGGGCATCTTGCATCCTTCATGGATCTACCAAGAGCAAGTACATACCATTGAGTATCAACCAAAGAAAAAAGTGTTGGCACCTTTGTTTTCATCTTCCCTACTTACTCTCCCTTTCTTTAAAAAATAAACTATTTCCAAGAATGTAATATACAAGAATTTGTCATAAAATGGACAAAACCATTTGACTACATGTCCTGTTACAAGGACTAACCTTTTTCCCTACCAGGAGTTCTAGAATTATCCTGCAAAAAGTGACTATGTTTTACAATAGGCTTTTACCTCACATCACCTGTTTATGTACCTGTAGTGAAATAATTCCTCATAAAACACGACCCAGGCAACCCAGTAATTTCTGCTTAGAGTCCGTATTATGTCATATTGGTCAATGGGTGTAATGAAGATCACTTTCAGTTTCCTTCTGGCAGTCTTGTGAGAGGGCAAAAGAACTTGTTAGATATAGAGCTTTACGTGTCATCTGTTTCTAACACGATGAAACAATATGAGAATAATGGGTGAAGCCCACATTCCTTGAAGAATACAAAAGACAGCAGACTCCAAGATGTTAATTGTTCCAGGCTGCCAGAACACTAGCAGTAACAGAAAACAAAGAATTCTGATACACATAAACTAGGCTACATACATTTGGCAGTTACTGTTTATGTAGCCTTTTTTGTTATTGTTTACTTGCCCGATTATTACTTAATATTATATGCAGATCAATAAATTTATACACAAGGCCTGATATCCCACAGCAGAAGACAGCTAACACTGTACAGCATTCATTAAAATTAAAAGTAGTTACAGAACAAAACTGTTTTCTTAAAACAATTATTAACTGCTATTAGTAAAGAATCCTGTTATTTGTCATTAAATATGCAAACACAAACACGCTAAAACAAAGTTTAAAATACAAGATAGATTTACTTGCCTAACATAAACTCCATATATGGTGAAAAATAATAAGACATAGGTTTTTAAAATTTTTTTTTTGTAATAAAAATGTTTATATAGATTAGTACAATTAGATACTTGTTGGAAGATAATAAATATCTGTAATTGCTGTGAAAGGTTATAATCAATAAACCTGTTTTTATAAATTTAGTTGATATTTGTATTTAGAAATTTAGAGAGCTACTTTAACCTTAAAAGCTGTCTTACATGCGTCATTTCCAACATACACGCTTAAGGAAAAAGTTCTTTGTACTTGTTTAGTGACAGGCAGAATACACAGGAAAATATACAAAATGCCAGCTTATAGCTAGTAAGCACCAGAGATGTAGAATGCAATGGCTGACAAATTTTTTTGCAGAACTGGTAAGCTAAAGCTTGAGGCTAATGATCTTTAGCAACTCTGTACTCTGCAACTCTCTACCCTGGGGCAACACCCTTTCAAAAGGCTGTGTGGTGCTACAGTTGAATGGAACTGACATACACATTCATGGCTGAGAAAAAAAGTAATTTCTATAAAGATTAATTACTATAAAGAAGTGAAGTGCTTAGAGTTCAAAAAGTTCCACTTGATCCCCCACATTTTTCAGTAGTATCAGCATTAAATGTTACTAGCCGCTTCAAAAGCTCATGAGGAAGTTAACATTGACTAAATAGAAACATTAATTTATTTCCAGAACTACGTAAGGCCAAATTGTTGAAATTGCTCAGCAGCCAGAGCTGAAACTATTGATCTTTAACACTAATTTATACATACTTAAAAGATAGATAAGCCCTCTGGATACCTAGCCTTAGTTTTCAGAGTCCTCCCATTTTTCCTCCCCATGAAAGCAGTATTCTTTCTTGATAGACACAGTTAGACAGTGGTCTCGGATTTTAATTAGAGCATGAAAATAAGAGCAAGAAATAGAGTTTTGTAGAGTAGTACATTATATAGGTGGAAGCTTCATCACTCATACTAAACACCCTCATAAATTCCATTTTTCAAATGTGGCTCTATACCCAATGAGGGTACGCTGGAGAGGCTCACTGCTGATCCATTAAAAAACTCTAGTGCAGGATGGGCCAGAACTTGAAAGCAAGTGACCCATAATTGCCAAAGCTGCATGCTGCAAGAACTGGCTATGTTATGTACTTTCTGTATTACACTCAGTTACACTGCACTTGACCAAGGACAAGCTAAAACTTTCTAGGATGTCTGCCAAGGGAAATGCACAGAAACATCTCAGCTACCACACATGGAAAATGTGGTACAGAGTTTTCAAATTTCCAGGAGAGGCTTTCATATTAGACAGTCATATGACCTCAGAGTAATAAATGGTCACCAAAATTTAGATTTATAATTTCTCTGGTATGGCCATTTATGTACAGGGAGGGTGTAAAAGTCAAAGAACTCCTGCTCTTTGCAATCAGGCTGCAATCAGATGCCTTGTATTAAAACTATAATTCTCAACAAACATGACCTTTGCATTTAATTTTCTCCCACCAAATGAGCAAATGAAGAAACCTATGGGCAAATTGAGTTCTCCCCTGGGATGCTGATGCAGAGACATGGTTGGTCATAGCTGGAGAATGAAGCTCTGCTTGCTACTGGTCTGCATTAAACTGCTTCCACCAGAGAAGTAGAGGCACTGTTACTAAAGCTTATCTGTACAAGAGGATCTTAGCAACATGTCTATAGCTATGCATGCAACCCTTATGTAGATACAATGAACAACTTGAAAACCAGGCCTTTTATTAATACAGTGTGTTTTGGTCAGATTGGTAAACTATAATGGCAGTAGCAGTTGCATTGTCTGTGTTTGGATTCCTGGTATGATCCTGCTGGATCATCTACTTCCTAATGAGGTTACAAGCCTCAGTGTAGCCTTAAAAGATTCCAGAATATTGGTCATCCATCCCAGCCATTGTGCAAAGGTAAAATGCAGCCGGTCTTCACTACTGCCACCTTCCAGGCATACTGGACCCATGTAGCAAAACACTCATGGGGCCAAGAGCCATAGGGCATATACCACATACGGCAGAGAGCTATGATAAAAGAAAGTGCCAAGGACTTCCTGCAGGAAGCAGTTGGTTTCTTAGAGTCTCACTGGTCCAGTGTAACAGGACTGGCATATGCAGCTGCTGGCCAGGACAATCCAATGGCATTCAACTCAGCAATCTCTGCTGGCTTAATACCTGCTGCAGCTGGGGATGTATACAGATTATCTTGGTCTCAGGAACTGTATTAGTATTAACCATATTGCTTGCAATTTTGCAATTAAATAAAACAATGCCAGCATATTTTGATTCATGCTTTGTCTAATATTGGTAAAATATCCACAACTTTGTTAGTATGTATGTATTTATGTGACATAAGAGTACCTTTTCTTGCTTTTAAAAGCAAACTTATTTGCACTTTTTATGTAAAGGAAAAGGTTAATGGGTTCCTCTGTGCTTTGGAGAAGTAGCATTTATTTTGTACTTTTCTGTTGACTGTATATTAAACTGTGCAACAAAACTGAAAGACAGATGTGTGTTCATGCCAGGTCAATAAATGTATTTTGTTGCCCACTAGATTTGAAAAGTGCTTGAAATTTTCCAGTGTTGTCTTTTGGCCACACATCTGCACTGAACTTTACATACAGTAATAAAGGTAAACTAGCAGCAATATAAAGTTAAATGAGCTATCTACAGCTACTATCTTCATATCCCATACATGCTGACAGCTAAAAACCAGCCCTTGTGCACTTTTTGAAATTGACCCTCCGCATTCTGCATCCTTACACAATCCTCTGATTTTTGCTTTACTTCCTTTCCTCAGAAAATCCTTGGCTCAAAGCCAGCTTGGTTTCTAATAAACAGAAAGAACTATTACTTCCCTTGCTGCAAAAATCTAGCTCTTCAAGACGTTTTGTCCACATAGGTTCTACTCTTGGGCCAATGCAAAAGCCCACATTTTTGTGGGTAGCAGTGTTTCTAAATGCCTTGTGCTTGTGGGAATATGAAGGACAGACGCTTGTCCATCTCATCCACCCTCAACTGCCTCTCAAATTACACATAAAAGAGAACCAGATACTACTGGGCCATATCTTACAACAGAAATAAGGGCAGAATGTAGAATCCACTGTAACAACCCTGTTGACACTTAAGCTACAAGCCACAGTTATAGCCTTCTCTAGTGCCCCCCGAAAACTCTTGCCATGTGGTAGTGGTAAACTCCGCTCTTGCTGGGCTCACATCGGCCAAAACCTGAACAATGCCTGAGTAGCTGATGTGCCTTCACATTTCCAAACCATTTCAGTGTAGCCCCGATTACATGTTTGGACCACATGCTTTATTTGCTCCTTCCTTGAGCTCCCCTGACAAGAGTCAAGTACAAATTGGTACAAGACTAAGAGTAATGGCCTAATATGAATACTTTAGTCTTTCAATACTGATTTTGTAAGGTCTTTTCAACTCTGCTAGCTTCAGTTTCTGGATGGGAGAAACAGGCTGCTCTGCTGCACATTCACTATGTTCCCTGCTTACACAGAAAAGCAAGCCTTCCTTCTTCCCAGTCCTTTTTGAATTTACCTATCATCAGCTGCATTCTTGTAGCTATTAGGGAAAAGAACTGAGAAATTTTTTTTGAAGAGTATTTTCTAAGAAGGTCTAATCTTTCAATTTCTGTCAGTTTGTCCTCTCCCATTTATCTTGGCAGAAGTAATTGATTTCTGTTTCTGCATACCATCACTTACAGCTCAAGTAACTTTGCTGACACTCGGGAGCAAACCAGCTGCTCCTTTTAGACACTGCTTAGTGCTAGATTTGCTGTCTGCAGTTGTTTGCAGGAGGAACTTTAGGTTTGTCATCTGGTAATCATATTCAGAAAAATCTTGGAACTGCTTCAGAATTTGCAGTAAAACAACAAAATCATATGTAAGTGTGAATGTTCCCTGAACATTAATATGTAGAGGCATCCTTGCAAGGATTAAAAGGTATCAGATGCCTACCTTGTAATAAATTACTATTTCTGTATCTCCAGAAATCTCTTCCTGAGTATTTTTTTGTGTCAACATAGATTTAAGAAGCCTGTCTTCATTACATTTGTAATCCCCAGGATATGCAGTCCACAGTCTTTACACCTCTTGGGTTTTGGCCTCACCAACAGGAAGGACAACAATACTTCACAGTCAATTCCTGATTCAAAACTTCTGCCATTTAGCAGGATTCATGCACCTCTCCTACCACTTCTTAAACTGGAGAAGCAATTTTATGCTTTTATGACCATTTTTTTTTTCTGCTTTGCTTCTCTGAATTACTGCTCATCTTTTTCCAGTACCCGATTCTCGGGCTGCAAAAACTGTTCTTTCATGTCACAGGCAAGTCCAGGCTGAGTTCACACAATTCTCCTGGAATTAATGTCGGATTCTCTGTATACATACTGGGGAAAATTAACTCATACTTGACCTATTTCTTGTTCTTTCCACTAAGCATTCTCTACTGGCCACTACAGTGAGATAAATGCCTACTCCAAGGTGCAGCTCAAACAAGGACTGTCTGCTGTACCAGCCATATCACCCACATTCCATGTGCCGAAGTAAGAAACTCACTTTCAAATATTGGCTGTTTGTTAACAAAAAGTTATGGTTTTGCATCAATTTCTTAGGCCATGGAAGAAGGAAAACACGTTAGGACAGGCCTCCCCCACTTTCTGTGTTTGTCTATCACAGGTTCTTCTATGATCACCTTGCAGAAAAGCACTCTACAGGCAAGAACAGTATTTTGAAAGCTTAACATGTAGCTGAACTGTAGAATACTGGCCAGACAAGCCTCAAACAGCCTACTGTAATTTTAGTATTGGCATGTTGCTAATACGAATTGACAAGGATGAACAGAGGTAAGCAATTCCTCCTCCCCAGTAGTTAAAACTGAGCATGACACTAGGAAGACCTGCTTTTTATACTGTGTAAATGGATTCCATCATAATTCCACTCCTTCCTTAACCAAGACACCCTGTGACTACATAGTAATACCCCACCACTAATTCCTCTTTGATATTCTACTTTACTGTGCATGTGATTAAAAAAAATGGAGCGAGGAATGATTTTACAAATACGAGCATGTTATCTGCATGGGATCTCAATGTATATGCTAGTACTAGGTGTCCATGACCTAGAGATAGCCAAAATAGTCTGGTCTTATACTTGTACATTTACTCGAAGGAATCAATATGAACAACTAATTAAAGAAGTATATTGTCTTCTTTTTATTACATCAGTATTGACAAGCAAAGTTCTATCACCTGAAGACAATCATAAAAATCACAGTTATAGTGGTTCCTTTCCTGTCCTGTTATCCTATGCTATTTAATTTTTATAAATGCTACCTGTCAGTGCCACTCACGTTCTTGAAAACAACTTCAATTTCTAATTAATTTTTCTTCTTTGTAAAAAGCAAGAATAGGGGAAAATAAAGCAGTAATTCAGTTGTCTAACCTTTAGTTATGGATGGGATGCTGGAAGAGGACCCAGGGGACCAAGGATCCTGCTCTCAGTTCTTCCATGTTGCTACGAGAACTCTGTACTTCATTGTCTTCATCTGCAAGAGGTGGAAAATTGTATTTATGCACACTTAAATATACTTTCTGTGTAATACACTTAATTTCAAAAATATTATAAGCAATTAATTACATTTCCTTTACTTTGCTTTTACATACCATTTCCATTTAATGTGTTTAGTTCAGCTGAGATTGAAATAAAAGATATTGTAAGAACACCAACTTCCTGCAGAACTTCTGGACCAATCACATATGAAACAACAAAGTACCGTGCTTTCCAAGTTTATGCTAGACATCCAGGTATGACTGTTGATCAGCAAATTCAGTATTTTGAGAAAAGAAGAAAAGACATGTTTGTCAAGATCTTAGTTTGTTTTATGCACTGTAGTTTCAAGGAAAATATTTAAAATAGAACTTAATGTGTCACATTTGCAAAAGTGGCCTCTTCAACAACTCAAAAATTTTTATTTGGGTGCCACTGTGTATAAAATGATCATGTACCTAATATATAAACTTGACCTTGCATCCCATGCACAAAAATAATGAGTTAAAAAAATCACCACATTCAAAATCATTACAGCAGTTTGTCCTCCTACATTTTTGAGAGCTAAACCAAACAAAAGTAGGAACTGTCCAGAGAGAGGAGAGTGCCAGACTTGGTCCGGTTTCAATAACCTGGTTTAAAGATCATGTCTTTACAGCCATGATATTCTGCGAGTGGTATAGTCTTACCGGATGAATTGAATTTATTTTGACACTGCTGTGTATTTGGTTTACAATTGATATTTCTACAAAAAAGTTAGTACAAGGCTAATAATAGTCAGAAACCCACCCTCAAAATTTGAAATCATTATTATGAGAGAAAAGTCATCATTGCACTGCTGAACAGATTCGTAGTGCTTTTAGAACATCCACTATTCTGATCCTACATCTCAAGGATATAGTAAAACTGAAAATGGTATACACAGTAATGGCAGTAACTGATTACTTCTATATAAGAAATAATAGAATTGGCTATGTCTCTTTATTCTAAAAAAGAGACAGCCAACACAACAAAGGTCTACACAGGCCACATGGAAAGATGAATAAAGAGCAAAGGCTCATTGTATCTTACAATATAAACATTATTTGCATTAAATGAAACTAGCAAGTGCCAGGTTCAGAAACAAACAGGAGATTTGTTTACACACTGTGTGAAAAACTCTCTACCATGGAATGCTGGATGGCAATACTTTGTCTGTGTTCAAGAAGAATTCTAGAAAGGATTGGTCAATTTCATCACGAAAAATACAGAGGGCTATTAAATAAACAATTGCAGCTGTCTGAGGAAGACACTGGCTCACAGATTAGTGAATACTAGAAGAGTATTCAGGCCTGTTATTTTGATCTTCTGGACTGCTACTGTTCACTGCTTCAAGAGGCATGATGCTAGGACAGATGGATGTTTAGTCTGAAACAGCACTACTGATTGTATTTTGAGTCAGTAAACTCACTTCAGGTACAGCTTACAGAGAACAGGCTACATGAATTTAAGTCTGTCAGCACCTTCTGTTGTTCTTTTTAAAGGCAACATTATAAACATTCATGCTTTAGTAAAAATTATTAATTTACTTTAAAATCAAATTGGGCTACTAAAATTCTGCACTACCACAAAATATAAGCACAAGGAGCTATGAAACAAACTCCGTGATGAGGCTATGGACTCCCTTCAAATGCCAAGCTTTTAGTAATTATCTGACCTACTTACATGACACAAATAAGTTTCTCTTCACTTAATGAGAATCTTTGCTTCACTTTTTGCCTTGTATTCTTTGCTGTGTCATACAGTGAAATCAGAGTGACTTGACAGTAACACACTTGATTTGAACAGGTACTTCTATGACCCCTAATACTTATGAAATTTAATAGCTTCTAGTATGGTAGAAGCATAATCCCTAGAAGAAAATAGCACACACACGCACACGGGTTTGAACAGTGAGGCAAAATGAATGTAATTTTTCTACTCAAAGCAAAGCACAATTATTGTGCAGAATATGTCCATTTAGGTAATAAACCCGATGTTTTGTATATAATATACTGTCTGAATATCTGTATATAAATCTGAAGGGGTCTAAAAGCAAGACATTTTACAAGCTCTGAAATGTTGAATGTGTTTTCTTTGAAGATTGATTTTTATGTATGTTTACAAGTGTAATTCGATGTCTTCTTAAATTCAAGTGAAGATGCAGGTAGGTCTGCTTTCTCATTGCATCTATGAATATAATCTACTTTTTTACAGTTCTTTTTGTGCTATAGGTAAAACTATATATTTGGTACCGAGAACAAAAGATACGTAACAAATTGTCAACGGCTATTTACTTTCATTTGAAAGAAAGTCTTACATTGACCGACATTTATATTATCAGAGAGGAGTGATGGGAAGAGGAATTTTATTCACAAAAATGACTAAAATTAGTTTTTACAAAACAATGAATCATGCAAACTCATTACATAGCAATCTCAAGCCTTTCTCCAATAAGATTTGGAATCTGAACAGGTGTCCAGTAGAGAATAAAAGTCCATGAAAATTCTATTCAAACTGAATCAAACTTTGCATGTTGCAAAGTTTATGCCTGCCAAATCATAAAATATTTATAGAACAATTACAAAATACTTTTGTACTAATGCAGAAAATTGCTAAGAAATCATTCAGGTAAGTAGCTTGAATTCTGAGTTCCTCAATTAAACTTTTCTAACTTTTCTCTTTATAGAATTAATTACAGCACAAATCTGTCTACCACATTAACACACAGAAAAATGCCATGCGAGATTTTTTTCTCCATCTAGACCGCAATAGTAGAATCTAGTCTTAAGCTTTCCAAACAACATAGATATTCACTTTACAACAAATATAAATAAAAATTAAAAAGGAAAACCAGCTATTGTAAGAGAAGAGAAAAATCCAAGAAAATCAGTCTCAAGGTTCCACCAGTGAAATGAAAATAAAATGTGTTGCTGATATATATGATTTTAGAGTATGTAAAATGTCCATGAAGAAACTGCCACCTTCCTCTGTTGGAAAAGTCACCTGCAGCATTCACTTGCAAAATGCAGTCAGGTTTAGAAAGCCGTAATGTTATAAACTCTGGCAGGCAGACACCGCTTACTACTAGGCATATTCAAAATTGACTACCTAACACCTTTAATGAGAAGTAGAACAGTATCAGGTAGCTTTTTCTAAAATAAAAACAAACCTTTTTTCACCCCAAACCTGACAGCTTCCATCTCTCCCAGTCCTGAGGTAAGACAGAGATTGCTGATCCAGAAAGAGGTAATTTTCCCCTTCAAAATTTTTTAGTCAGTGCAGAAAGGGAAAGTACCTACAGAAGGCACAAGCCTTTCTTCCCCCCACTGTCCCAGAACTCTAGTTGACTAGCTACCAGATTACTTTTGAGAACAGTATGAAGGGCAGCCAACACAGAGGGAGTAAGCTGTGGTCTTAACTCTTCAACCCAGGATCCAAACTGCCAAACTGTGTACAGCACACAGGGAAAGGAAGGAGAAAACTCAACAGGGTGAGAAGCAAAAGCTTAAGCTTCATCTTGATGAAAATCAGTCTAAGAATACTGCTAAATAGGTATGTAAGGTTTTATCCCCATTTGAAGTCATAGTGATTTAAAAGGCAACTAACATTCATGAGTTGTTCTGAAATCTTCCCTTCTTGTTTCTAAAAATACCCGACAAAAAAACACATACAAAGGTATTCAGCCCAAGACGGGATCTTCCACACAACTAACAGAGACCATGACTTCAGATTTTAAAACAGCACTAAAATCATAATCTTCCATAAAATAAGAGCTGCCAGACAGGCACCCTTTCCTTAGATGCTAAGTCTGAAAAGATACTAAAAACCTTCTCTATTTCCACGAACACTGCAGCAGGCACTGGTGAACTCAGCTGACCTTAAGAAAATAACCCAAGGGTTTTTATCAGATCAAAAGCTGAACCTAAGCCAACAAATACTGAATATATTGCATAAAAAAGGAAGGTTTATGTAATATGTGAATTATCCCCACTCAAAGTGCTAATAAGGCCTCCTTTAATACTGTGTGATGTTTAGCACTATCCTTTCAGATAGACCAATTAAACGCTAAAGAAAAAAATACAGGTCTAGAAAGCATGACTGGTGAAAAAACTGGGTAGCTTGTTATGGCTAGACAGAAGATTGAAGAGTGACCTTGTTACAGCTACCAGACATGTGGAAATGCATACAAGGCTGTAAAAAAGAGAATAATTAACTGTTCGATGTATATATGAACTTTATGACAAAACATGGTAGTCCTGAACAGCAACCAGTGTGACTGAGACTGGTGTCTGGGAAACCATTTCCAGCCTTACCACGTCACTGGAGATTTCAGGCAATATAAGAAAACATTTATTAAGAACTGATGAAGTATGAATTATCCCATGTTGTATAAGAGGACCAACAAGATAGGCTTCCTTCCAACTCCTATCTAATTGTGTGACATGTAAACCACAAAGAAGAGCAGAAGAGATTAAATAATTTCATTCTACTATATTCCAAAAGCTGAGATGCTTCTGTATTAAGTAGTAAGATGTATACATATGTATTCTGCCATGGTGTAGCAGATACACACATTTTTAAACTATTGCCAACACAAAGCAGTACAGCAACTTGATTTATTATATGCAGATTCTTCTGCATTGTTGCTAAACAGTACACTGGTCCAAAGTTACTAAAATACTTAAAAAACTATACATTATGTAAACAAAACATAAATAAGACAGCATAGTTCTTTGTACATATAGTTTAGTACAGATTGTTAGGAATTCATGAATATGTACAATTCTATACCATAGATTGCATTTTTACAATGCATAAATATTTTTTTTTACAGAAATAAACCAAAAATAAATCTGACAAACAAAAAGGAGATATATACTGTCATAAACACACTGGCAAACAGTCCATACTGTAAGATGGAACATGTGCAAAAGGCTAGATTACTCCAAACTGAAATGTTTAATGAACTCATTGGTCATTTCTGACCTTTTTACTAAAGAACTCTCTGAAAACTTCTTTGACAAACCAAATAAATTTTTCTTCCTCCTAAGCCTCACAGGTAAACAGGAAACTGTAATCTTAAGTAATTTTGAGTAAATCAACAGTTTCAAACAATGAAGGAAATTATTCAATTGTTACAACTTCCAAAGTCAGAAGAATGCCCCAAAATTTCAAAGTGGCTCATTTGCAGTAAACTCAGGATGCAGCTTTGTCAGGTTTATCAAGGCAAGATGACTGAGATGCAGGGACGACAGTGGTAGGATTTCTGTTTGTGGACACAACAACAGGAGGCAGCGATGAAGACAGGGAAGAAACTTTTGATGACGGAGTATTTATAGCATTCAAAATCGCTCCCTCTGGACTGACCAACAGTTTTTTGATAGAAGTATCTAAGTGAAACACCGAAGTGTTGCTTGGTAAGTGAGAGTTCGGAGGATGAACGGCAGAAACCCCAGAAGATGTAGCTACATTAACAGGAGATTTTATCACTGAAGACACAGACAGTGTTGCTGCAGACAGTGGAGTACTAAATATCTGGGGTGTTGCATGTACGATGGGTAAAGCATCTGCAGACCCAAAAGAGTTCACAATTTTTGTAGAGCTTTTCAAAGGATGTTTTGATATTTGCCAACTTAATGAATTACTCGGTGCTAGCATGATTTTCGAGGTTATTGGATTAACAATTGGTACACCTTGAGCCTCTTGACCATGGTTAATAGTTAAAGGAGGAGTCTGTTTTGTGTTACAAGAAAGAACAAGAACATGGCTGCCAGCTCCAAGGCCTTGTGGTGGAACAACAAAACGCGTACCATTAATCATTATCTGAGTTCCAGGTGCCAAAGGCATAGAGGTGTTAATGACTATTTTCTGTTGAATACAAGGTTCATTCAACTGACCTCCTGCCTTGCTTGTTACAGTTGGTGAAGCTACAGACATCTGAATGGTAGAAGCATAAGTGTAAGCATGACTATGTTTCTCTGTACTGGGAGGCACCTGCTGGCATTGTAGGGAAGAAAAACTAGGAAAACTAATTACTTTACCTGTATTTGGTGATGGAGGGGGCAATACACTCTGAGGTTTGTGAATGCCTGCATTACTTGGCATAGAAACTGAAACTCCTGATGACTGAAACTGAAGCAGTGTGGGCAACTGGCTTTTTGGTACGGGAAGAGGAGCTGGAACTGCTGCCAACTGAGGAACTGTATGTAACACTTTGGGAGGGGCGGCTACAGATCCAGGCAAGCTAATGACTGGAAATTGCAAAGCAGATGCTAAGTTTTGAGGAGATACTGTTGGTTGTGTTGTTGAAATCAGCACAGATGAAGCAAGGTGTCCTGTTTTCACAGTTGATATACCCACAGTATTTCCAATATTTGATGTACACAGTCGATTACCCAGAATTGGCCTTATTCTTGAGGAATCATCTCCACCAGTCAAGACAGTGGGCCATGTCCCGGAAGTCCCACTTGATGTTACTGAAACAGATTCTATGCATGCATTTGCTGTTGTTACTGTACAAGCATTTTCAGCTTTTGTTGCAACACACACAGATTCATTAGCTGACACAGCACTTTGACTCACAAAACTTGGAACAGGAACCAAAGTACTATTATTTGTCAAAGACAGCGCCAAGCCCATGGTCTTCTTGTCTTCTCCCTTAGAAATGGCAGAGTGCAATATATTAACTGCTGGAGCCTGTTGTGCAATGCCTTTAGTATTTACAATGGTTTGACCTATATTTAGTCCAATTTTTGCATCTTTTACTTGAGCAATAGTTGGTGATGAATTTATTCTTATTGGTGCTCCTACTCTAGATGGAATCAGAACCAACTGTGGTTGCTCTGTGGCACTAACGAAGGTTTTGCCTAGGGAAGAAGGAAGGTTATGTTTCAATGACTCTGCAACTAGATTGGTGGTTGATGGGCCATTGGCAATTTGTGTGTTAATGAAAACCAACTTCTGAGCATTAACACCAGTGGATGCTGGAGAGGGTATAATACTAACTCCTGATGGTGATAAAATAGGTGGATTTGTGACTAATGTGAGTTTCTGGACTGGAGTACCACCGATTAAATCTCCATTTGTTGCTGAATTAGACTCAGATTGTGTAACAGGATTTGTTTTAGTATCACCTTGTTGCTGCACAGAAGAATTTGGAGTTATGACAGTGTTATTTTGTCCAATGCTAGTGACACTAACAGGGCTGTTTGGAGTTGCTGACATCAAATTGCTAGCTAATGATATGGAGGATAAAGAAGGAGAGGATACATTGCAGGAGTTCTCTATTACTTGACCCAAAGTGCCCCCAACAACAGGCTGCTGTAATGTGAATTTGATGTTTTTCTCCATTGCCTGGGTAAAATCAGCTGGGAAAGCTGGAATGTTAAGAGAAGCAGCTGTTGAGGGGGCAAATCTAGAAAGAGACGATTGTCCAATATGTGTGAGACCAGATGTGGCTGTTGCTACAGATGGAAGAGTAGAGCATGACAATGCTGTGGTTTTTGGCACAAGAAAGGCCTGAAGTTGAGGTGTGTAAGTGAAAACTGAACTAGAAGATAAACTACTAGGTGAAATCTGGTCTGGATTTGTTTGCACTTTAACAATTCCTGTGTTTCCACCTCTTGTGGTGACCAGAATAGATTGTGATTCTCGAATGCACACCGTCTTCAGCTCTTGCCTAGTTTCAAAGGAGTCGGTTGTCTGCTGTGATGCAAGACTACGACAGGCAGAAGCATTTGTAGACCCACTTAACGCTGTCGTGGATATCAAAGACTGGCAAGCTGTAGAAAGAGCGGGTGAAGTCAAAGACACAGGGAGCATGGCAGTTGAAACTGTAGTCTTGATTTTGTCAGTTTCAGTTTGGCTCACCTTAATTGTTGGTGATAGTAAGTTACCTACTGAAGTTACAGCAGGCAATGGTTGTGTAGTGTTCATGAGACCAGTCACCTGTGACAAGTGGGTAATATTCTTGTTAGAAATTGTAGTAGGTGACTGAGTGGTTGCATTTGCAGGGCCTGTTACCAGAACAGGTGTCAAAGAAACACTGACATTTGATATCTCTGGTAAAGTTGTACAGTGCAAGTCAGATAATTTTTGTTGTAGTGTCTTAATGTCCTTGGACACAATTTTTCCTTCTTTCTGCTGAACAAGAAAATTCTTAGGTAAAATAAGAACTTGTTGCATGACTTTTTCTCCCGTTTTAGGGTCAATCACAGGTTGCATTTGAATTTTCACAGAGCTGTTGTGAAGGTCTATTGGTACACAGTGGCCATTTGGCATTTTGTATATCATTTGTAAAGGAGTCTTTGAACTGGTCTGGCAGGGCAATGCTGGTTTTATCAGTGATGATTCCAAAGGTGATAAAACTGTCTTTTCAGAAGTAGATACATTTATGCCTGGGGGAGGTGACAGTTTATTTGTTAAGGTCACTTTGTTCCCAGTATTCTTGGCAAGCAAGGCCTGGATGGGTTTGGTCCCTTTCAGAAAGTTTGATACTGATGTTGCAGGATCTGTCAAGGAAAAAGATTTTAGAGTTGACCCTTCAAATTGTTTCAGCTCAGTCAAACAACACTCTGGCTGCAGGCTACTTTCTGAACTCTGGACCACAGCCTCATTAGTGCTCAGCTTAGCTTTCTTCCTTGGTGAAAGCTCATTAGTGCTTTGATCCAGACAACTGCTTTGCTTGGACTGTCGTTTAACACATTTGGACAGTGTCTTCTGTATTTCTTTAGAAGTTGATTCTTTTTTCAGAATTCTGTTTTTTCCTGCAGGTAAATTCATCTCTAATTGTTTCATCTCATCTGCAAGGATATTAAAACAGAAACTGTGTTTTACATATTTGCAACTGATACCTCTTTATAACAATTTTACAGTGTCTAGCTAATGGCAAAATGCTAGTTTGCAAGTGTAAGGATATGTAGAAGGAAAATGTCTGCTTCTTTAAGGGCATCTGGTCAAGGACCTTTTTCAATGCAAAAAGGGGGTAGTAAGGAAAGGAGGAAATTATAAACCAGAACATACAGGGATAGAAACCTGACCAGCATGGGAGACAGTGAGGAAAACCAAACCTGGTCATTCACACTAATTGATAAAAGCATGTGAGAGTGTGAGAATGTTTATTCCAGCAAGGTTATCTCATCAAGGACCTTGTTAATTGGGAATCTGAGGGAAAAGGGGAGAAGCCAGAAAAAAAACCAGACACACAAATCTAACAAGACACACATGGAAATGACGACAAGAAACAACCTCACCAGTCACAACAACTGATAGGCTATCAAGAAATTGCAGGTGCCCCTTCCAGGAAGATCAACCTGGACTTTGCAGCTGGTATGACTGTAAACCAGAGGAGGTCCTGGACACTGGGCCGGGAGGGGTGAGGGAATAAGTAAAGCTATCCAAACCCAGGAGGGGATATGCAGAGGAAGGGGGAGGTGCAAGGACAGAGCAGGAGGTCCCAGCCTGTGTGCCTCGTGCTGGCTGCTGGGGGGTGAGCATCTGTATTTTCCCCCAAATCTGGTGTGTGTGGGGGCAGTGTGTATATATTCACTGTCAAACTTCAAGATGGACTAGCAGGAGGGGCTGAGGTCTGGGCTGGCATATTGGGTGGACTAGTGAGTGTGGGTTGCATGTGGGACAAGGGTGTGCAGTGCCACATATTTCATACTGAGCATTGAGCTGGACCAGCCAGCTAACTGGGGATGCTTGAAGTGGATAGGAGGACCTAGGATGCAGGCAGGAGTGCCTGGTGGACAGAGGGCCCTGTGCATTGAGATTTTGGCAGTGCAGGGCTGCAGCGGACCCTCTGTGAAGAGATGCCAGGAGCTGTCCTGTGCCAGACACAGCTGGCTCCAAAACAGATTCAGTGCAGGACATGGCTGAGTCCATCAGCCAAGCTGCTGATGCCTCATGGAAAATTCTGCATAGAACAGTGTGACGGAAAGGACTAGACACCAAGGTCAGTGAAGAAGAAGGGAAAAGAGGTGCTCCAGGCACTTGGAATAGATTCCCCTGCAACCTGTGAAGACCATGGTGAAGTAGGTTGACCCCGTCCCATGGAGGACCATGCTGGAGCAGGTATCTACATTGCAGCCTGTTGAGGGCCCCATTCCACAGCAGGTGAATATGCCCTGAAACTGCAGCCCATGGAGAACCCCCACTGGAGCAGGCTCCTGACAGGAACTGTGGCTTATGGGGGACCCACACTGTATTAGTCTTATTCTGAAGGACTCGAGCCTGTGGAGAGGACCCATGCTGGAGCAATTCATGAAAGACTATATGCCATGTGAGGGATGCCATGCTGAAGCAGGGCAAAAGTGTGAGGAAGAAGCAGCAGAAATGAAGTGTTATGAACTGACTGCAACCTCCAACCCCATTCCCCCTTTGCCACTTGACAGGGAAGGAGGCAGAAGAATGGGGAATGAAATTGAGCCTGGGAAGAAGGTGGAGATAGGGCAGAGGGGGGAAGGTGTTTTAGTTTTTGTCTTTGTTTCTCACCATCCTACTCTATTTTTGTTTGGCAATAATTCAGATTGATTTTCCCCAAGTGCATGTTTTGCCTGTGACAGTAACTGATGAGTGATGTCCCTACCTGTATCTTGACCCATGAGCTTTCCCATCTTATTTTCTCCCCCTGTCCTGTTAAGCAAGGGGAGTGACAGAGTAGTTGGGTGGGCATCTGGCAACCCACCATAAATTCTGACCAGGCCTACTATGTTATCACAGAAAAAGTTAAGCACAAAAATGGCAAACACTTGCATTAATCAGAATTTTCATCTTGGTCATGTCTGTTCTCTTCTAGCCTACATCCATCAGACATGCATCACAAGCTATTTCAGTATTATTATAGTTAGTAGTTACAGTAAAAAGTAGAACACAAGCTCTCATGGAAAAATTAAGCTCCTGAATCAACTCGATTCAGCTCCTGAATCAAGTTCACGCTACCAAATTCCAGTAAATGCTTACCATTGTCTGGGTGATCTTTTTTGGGAACTTCCACATGTTCTGCAGACTCTGAAGATTTACTGCATACTACTGCAAAAGAATCTTTGCCAGAATCAACTTCACTTTCATCATTACTCCACAATTCTCTGGTAAATTTATCATGGTCTGGATGTCTTTTAAAGTCATCATAGTCCTTCTTCAATCTAGACCTTGAAAATGACAAAACTAACTTCACTAAAAAAACCACACAATTTTTAAGATTTTTTTTTTTTTAATTTGTATTTGCTGCCACACAAAAAGTTGGTGTAGAATTAATTGCCTGTGCCCTTCAAAAATTTTCAGGGTAGCTCTGTGTGCAAGCCTCTAAAACCCAGAAAATGTGACAGATATGTCCCTTCCCTCACCAGAACTGAATTCTAGGTCATTAAGTCCTCTAATAATAGGCAAAAAGACTGAGTCAAATATGACCTTCACTGTTTTACTGCATCCATCTTCTGCTTCTTCCTTCATCTTGCATTGTGACAAATGTACCTGTATGGACTTGAGTATTAACTGTAACAAGTCTACTCTTCCCCCAGAAGGCAACCCCAACTACAGAATTAAATAAATCTTGTTTTTCTTAAATGAATCATGCTTTTGGCCCAGCTATGGGACCGTAATATAACTTTCTCCTTTAAGAAAACTTTCTTATCACTGGGCCATTAGACCAGCTGCCACTGTAATTTCCATAGGCTCACACTCCACTAAAGAATGTGCATGTGATGGAAATACATCATCTGAACACCATTCAGAAACATCCACTTACCTTGATACTGCCAGACTGCAACATATTTCCATTGTCCCTTCTTCTAAACCATTGTTTAGATGAGATCTAGGAGTATTTTAGTGTACAAATACAGTGAACTACAGGATTCAGCTGGTGGTAACCAACACAATATCCAGGAGGATTACTGAGCAAATTGTTTAGCAATAGATTATAGCAATTAGCACCTTGTGTGGAATAGAATCTATGCTCTAGTCTGGATCTAACCCTTATGACAGTAAGAATAAGATCTTAAATTTATGCATTCTTATGCATTAAAATAAGTTGTTTGCATTGAGTGCAGCAATGGCCAGCTGCTCCCTAAGAGACAGAAAGGGAGGAGCTAAGCATGATGTCACAGTTAGTAGGGGAGGGTGTGATAACTGGGTTCAACCAAGAGTCCAGATTAACAGGCAAGTTCCTTGTGCTTAGGGAGGTCTGAGATCAAGCTGGGATGTCAATTCACAGGATCAGGATCCAGTCGAGTGATTTCTGGGCAGGTTAACAGTGATGACACAGGTCCAAGATGGACCCATGGCCAGGCAGCGTAACTGCTGTAGTTGAGCTGGAAACTGGCATTCATATGACAGACATTGAAGGCTGCAGAATGACCTGAAATGGGGATCCTGGGCTCATGGGCAGGTGATGAGGATGGAGGCCCAGGTGAGGCTGGTCAGGGTCAGTAATAGTTTAAAATAACAGTTTACACCCAGCTTTGACACTCACTGAGAGAAGACAACCTTGAAGTATGAAGATGCAGTGTGGACAATACTTCAACTCTGTCATTAGGATTTTGAGCTTGAAGTCTAGGTGTGGAAGAGCTATAGAAGAACACTAGGGAACCACAGGAGGACACTAGGAAACCACTATTGTACTAAAAGCTTCTGGATGGGAATTTCCTTTTTTCTTTTGAGGAACTTCTGCTGTGGGGCCAGTGAACAAATGTGATCAGTGAGCACAAGCAACCTTTCCTTTTAAACCTTGCTGCTATTCAAATACCATTCGACATTTTACTCTTATAATTTTGAGAAGATCAAAAGACTTTTCAGGCAGGGAAAAAAAAGGGATTTTATTAAGAAAGAGTGCTCCTACTAGTTAAAGACAACAAAAAAGGAAGGAAGAAATACTCCAGACTCTTACTCCATACTGAGGTCTTGCACAGAAGGAAGGAGGGCCCAGCCCTTGACAACCTAGAAGGCCAACAGTGTTACTCAATTAGTAGATGCTAGTAGCTGGCTAAGACACGCTAGAGGCACTGCAACTACTGCTAGACTTGCAGTGGTGCTGCTGCTTACACCAGCATAAGCAATCTTTACTCAGTTGCTTTTCCCCTTTCACCAGCTTTCACACACCTTTCTTCACCACTGTATTTGGTGCTATACACTTGCAGCTGCATAATGAACCAGACCAAGACACTGATCTAGCCTCACCCCCCCCTCCATCTCTTCTTTCCTCCCCATGATCTGTAAAGATTGTTTTTCAGCTGGAGCTGTTCCCTGGTATACTGTGTGTCTGTCCAAACAGCTATGTCATGGAGATACCAAGGCTAGCATTGCTGAAGAAACTAGGCTTACAGCCTAAAGCATATATCCTGAGAAATATGAGTTAGTCTCAGAAGTTATCCTCCAGTCTCAGAGCATACCTCTCTAGCTACCAGTACACACACATGCAAGACCTCAGCCACTCAGTTCCAGACTACAATTTACTCATATTAGACACACCTCATATATAGTACTTCTACACACTTTACATGACAGTTCTACTTCTGTATTGTAGAACCACATTTAACAAATAAGAACTAATACTGGGCACAAACCATTCCACAGCAGAATTTACATAAAGGATAAAACTGGAAACCTTATATACTGGAAATGGAAATTCTTTTTAATAGTATTATGATCTGTCACATTTCCAAAAGGAGTCTGAACTGCTACAGACAGGAAGAAATGAACAGATAAGTAAAGTGAACAGAAACTTGAATAGAAAGGAATAGAAAAAAGCAAAACTTGTATTTTAGTCCATTATTTAAATCAAAATGTTCAACAACATCCTAAATTTCCAAATAGGGATTTTAATTCAGGCATGATACCCATAAATTGAGCTATTAAGAAACCAACTCTTAGCAGTTTTATCTGTTTACTGTCTTTGGTGGTATGGTGTTGTTTTGGTTTTTTTAAACATAATACTTTTTACACTTTTCAGAATTAGTTGCACCACACAAGTGTGTAAGTTGCTTCCTTCACACTCAACATGTACTTTACCTATAATTTGAAACAAGAGTTCAAGCTTCTAATCATGACTTGCTTTTTAAATGTCTATGTGGCTAAACTAAGGTATCATCATAGCAACAGCTATATGGCTAACAGACAAACAATGGCACCAAGCTTGAAGACACAGTGATGATACCAAGTCAATATCCAGTCTCCACAGGATTTATAATCTGGGCAGCATCTTCACTGATACTGATACTTGCCCTTATTAGATTTAAATCAGTCACTGCTTCACTGATATTCCTCTGACACAACTCATTCCAGATACATTTCAAATTTACAGTGTTACAAAGACCTCAAAACAGTATTTTAAGAATTGCTTTGTGACAAATACTATAGCAACCAATTTAGGTAGCTTTAAACAGTAGGTAGTCTGACAAGGTATTCTAAGAAGCCCTGGTCTAGTTTTGTAGATACAGGTTTTCAAATGAATAACAATACAGGTCCTAGATAGATTGTGATACAACTGTTGATAGGCACACTTCAGCATTCTAAGGCATTTTAGAGGAAAAAAATTAGGGTGTTAAACTCAACTTTATTTAGAGACAGTAAGTCTGGAACATAAAATAATTCTTCCAACTAAAGCACTGCCACTGCCTCACTCTTCAAAGTATTGTCATTTCATTTTAGAAGCCAACTTACTGATTATTTTTTAAAAGGTGAATTTTGTTCTGGTTTTCATCCCATGCACCTATGTTAAAAAAAGCAGCTAATTACCTGTTTCTTTGAAATGCTTTCATTAGCTTTGGTTCCCATGGTAACAGTTCATTAAGCAGTCGTATCAACGTACCATGCAATTCCTTTACTGCTTGCTTCCGGTGGTACCACCTTACCTGCAAAATAAACACCATTTATTTATTGCATTAGACCTGAATCTTGTTATATTAGTACTACAGTATCCTGGTACACTAATACAGCATATGAGGAAAATAGCTGGAAGAAAATATTAGTAAGTTTCACAGTTACATATACCCTTAATCTGTGTTAGACATTAATACTTCTACTTTTTTATATATACTATAATAGGATAATGTCCTAGTTAAAAAAGCAATACTGCAGTTTTTACAGGTCAAACTTAAAACTGAAGCAGAATCCTACAAACACACCACATGTTTAAAATTATTTAAATGAGTAACTAACATAGGTAGTAATCCATTCAGGTCAGGGAAACCAACCATGTATGTACGTGTTTAATAGTTAGAGATAAAATTTCTACAGAAAGTCTAACATAATCTCATTTAATGTAAGTGATATGATTTATATTATTTGAAAAAAAAAATTACTCCTATTTTCAGGGCTAAAAACGACACAGTTTTTGCATTACATTTTTGTATTTTATTTGAAGTTCTAGATAAAGTGGGTTTTTTGCAAAAGAAAAGCTTTACAAACAGGCCATTTATGAAGTAACAAACCATGCAGCAGAGACCAGTTTTCCGACATAAAAGCTTTAAGCTTTTACCTCAAATATATAACTAAAAATTATTTTCTTTTCCAAACTGGTATACATATTATGATCTTCCATGAAGAATTAATGCTTTAATAAATCTGGAAAGGCTGAATTGAGGACAAAAGACATTGGGAAATGAGAATTAGCATGTATATACATAATACACAGCACAACCATGGTGGCCCTAATGCTGCAGAACACATCTCTTAATGCTCTTAGATATCCCTTGTGAGTATTTCTTCCCCGAACTTTTTTCTCTAGTTTATTACATAAAGGACTGAACAATGCATATATATGTAACAGCTACAAAATGAGATGCGGTATATACTCTAGTACTTCTGCCACCCTACTAATTCTGTGCATTTTACGTAAATGAGGATTTTCTCTCTTGACTTGTCAGAGAGGATGTAAGACAGTAAAGAGACTATGGTTCTGCAAGAAAAAGAAGCAAGACTTGGGAACTTATTTATTTCATACACATATTTAGCTTTTGATAGACCTCATATCCTTCACAGCTTCCTGTGGTCCAGCACACCAAGAAATGTAGGACAGGAAAAACTGGATAAAGCTTGACACAGCTGCCTTTCAGCAGTCTACAAAAATTATTTTCCTACAGACTCTGGAATAATTCCTTTCTACACATTTCAGCAGATCTCCCCAATGTACAGCAAGATCAGTCAGGCTAAATACTTGTTTGAAGACCAGGTATTTTTTTATGGCTAATCATTTACACGTTACATAACAAAATGAATAGCTACTCCTTCATTCTTGAACTAAACATTCTATGATTCTATGATTCTATAAAATAACAAAAGCAAATATTTTAAGCAGGAAGTTATGCCACATTACCACATAATGGTTAGTGTTGAGCACCGAGACAAGCCAGCAAACTGTATTCTAATTTCCTTCATTTGTGGCCATATTTGCACATGTAATGCACTGCAGTACAAAACCTGCCACTGAACACTGCAACAGAAACCAGCCCTTGTGTATACTATAGCCTACCAAGGCATTTGCTGTCACTGCCTGATGTTAGCAGTCAACAGAATTGCTAACATATGAAAGAATATTATGAGCACAGACTTTCTTTCTTGTAAGTTACACAAAACATTTCAGACAGCTTTAAAAGGATGAATTTATATACTACATAGTGTTAATGGACCGTATCAAAACAAGAATCAAAATGGCAAAAATAAACAATGCCACTATCAGGCTATAGAAATTCTGCACATCCATTTGACGTAGCAAAGAATGGGATGTGTGAAAACGCAGTATTAAAATGGTATGAAAAATTAATACAGGTAAAAACAACAAGAAATTATTCATTTCTGAGACTCATTTATCTTTAAATAAGGCTAAGATCTTGGTTTAAATAGAAAAAAAAAGAGCACTTGAGCCAGATGAGTATCAGCTGACCACTGAGTAAACTCTGAAGTGATAACTGTATCATGCATTGAATAGCCAGGCAGAAGTTTTAGTTGAGAGCAGACTGCAAGACTTTACTGCCTTCATTAACACTTCAAAGAAGAAAAAATACAAGTCACTTTTCTCCTTGCTTACAAAAATGAACAAAGAAAAAAAAAAATAATCTATCCCCTGCCCTCCGAATTCTAGAGCTAGTTTTCAACAAAAATAGCATCCTCTGGATAACTCCACATTTGCTTCCAAATAATTTTAATGCAAATATAACAACATAATTTTAAAAAAAAATTAAATTAGTAATTTCCCTGTATCCCAATTACTCATTTTTCTTACTGGGGTTTAGGATTTGACAATAAACCTGTAACTGGAAACATACACAAATTCAAGCCATGAGAAGAATTTTCTTTCCTCAGAATTAGTCAAGACACAGAACAAATATGGGCCAAAAGAGACTGGAAAAAAAAGAATATTCTTATCTTTTAAATAATTGTGGTTCAGTTGGTTTTCCGTGCAAACACACAAGATTTCTGCAAAGCCCAAATGTTACACAAATGATCTGCTACTATTCCTTAAATATTAAAATAGTAAAAAGGAAGGGACATAAAAAAATGTGTCTACAACCTTAAGACACATCACTACAAAATCTAGCATTACCTTTCCTATGCAATTTCGTTCTCTAACACAGTCTTGTGTATTTTTCCGGGGGAGAAGGAGGGGCGAGGAGGGGAAAGCAAGTCAATAATTGATAAAGCTATGACTTTACTCCCTACTTCAGCATTACATAGCTGCCTACTAATTTCTACAGATTATAAACTTGCCTTTACAAATGTCTGTATTGCAAACTCTTCTCAGTAATACCAAATGATATAATGCAGGAGAAAAGCTACAAATTGAAACTTAGGAGGTTCAAGCTGGACCTCAGAAGGTATATTTTCCACAGAAACATATGGCATTAGAACAGGTTGCGCAGAGTAGCTGTTGAATCTCCATTCTTTCTTGTTTTCAGAACTTGGCTAGTCAGATCTTGGATGACTTAATGCAAGAGTGACAATGGTCCTGCTTCAAGGAGGGGAGACGTTCAAATGTCCCTTTCAAGCACTGACTGCAGGGTTCCTTACGATGAAAGATAAAAGCCTCTGAGTTTGACCTGATGTGTTATGGGATTAACAAATAAATGGCATGCAATATCTAATGGCACAGAAGGAGCTGACCACAGCAGAGTAGCCATGACTGTTCCACTCAAAGTAATCAAAATATAGCTGTTCAGAAAATTCCACGAGGAGTGGTTTAGTAGAAGGGCAGGGTTAGTACAAAGGAATAGCTACTACAACCCTGTAGTTCAGTCCTCTTCTCAACAAGGCTTCTGTAGAAATGGCGATCTGGATGCACTGCCTTCTGGTGTTTATGAAATCCAGCAGGGTTTTATTCATAGACATGAACTAAAATTATCCAACTACATCAACCCAAGACAGTACTCTAGAGGTAAAAACAGTCTTTCTCTATCACCGAAGAGCTTGCTCTTAATAGATGTGTGAAGAAACTCTTCTCCTTCTATTTACTTGAGCTAATTCTAAGTTTGAGAACAGTCTGCATCCCTAACTGATTATTTAAATAGAAATATCCAGTACCTAAATTGGGTGTATACAGGGTTATGTTCTTATGTGGTCTGTAATTCATACTCCCAGTACCACTGCTTCTATACCTTGGATCTGAATTCCAGTTACCATCTTGTTCCAGGTAGTGACAAACCAAACCACTATTTACTTCTGGAAACACAACCGAACGAAAGAGAAAGAAGGCCTAGACAGAGGACAAATATAAAATGTGTCTTTCAGCTGTGTTAAGTTACAAATAAATTTAAAAAATGCAAACACAATAAAAAATACATTTTACAAGTGTGCTGAATGTTTCCATATAAACACAGAGAGACATTCAACACATTCTCAACCGAAAACTTACCTTTTAAAATAAGGTTTCTGACATCCAGAGCAGCCAGGAAATGCTGACTCCACTCTCCGTGATGCCCCAACATATATTATTCTGGCATACTCATCATGGAACCCCAAAGCAGACTGGAGCCAGGATATGGATATATGGGGTAAGGACTGAACTTTATAGAGGAGTTTTTGTTTTGATTTTAAGTAAACACACACACACACAACCACAATATTATGCAGTTTTATAAGATTTTCTTTAATCTTTAATTTATATCCCAAGGACATAAAATAAAGAAAATTAGAAATCTTATAAAACCATGCAATATTGTTGAAAAGGGGTGGTGGTGGAGGGAGAAAACTTACCTTACCCTTAATAGGCCTGCTCCATTCTGCAGCGGGGTTCTGTGGGATGTGTGACATCACCAGTCTAGCGTTTTCTAGTGATGTCACACAGAGAGGGAGTTGGTGATCTGCAGCTGCTTTGGACATCAGATACCTAAAGAAAAGAGATCGATAACTTTTTCAATTCAGATATGGATTGATACTGAATGTTCTTATTAACCAATTTATGGGCCAAATTCTAGAATTTCAGACACTTACTTCAATGGCAGTTTTGACTGAATAGGAATGCATGATGAGATAGTGTATTCATACTACACAAACTCATCTATAATTGAAACTGTTTTAATTTTGAAATTGCTTAGTTATATTCTGCAGTAAAAGTTCCTGAAAGTCAGTATCTTGTATTTTACTTTCAGCAATGTCATTCTGAACATTATAAATACCTATCAACAGCTAACCTCTGATGTTATTTGAAGACTGGGACTGAATATAGTCAGGAAGAATGACTCATAGGAAACTGTAAAGCAAATTCAGTCATGACATCTCTTAATCAATTTGATGTTTGAGCATTTACTGACAACTAATGAAAAGATGTATCAGCCCTCAAACTTTTTTTTTTTTAAGAAAAATCTTCAGCTTGTACTTCCATGACCTAGATATCCACCCCCACCAAGCTACATCTTGAAATGTTATCCCAAATCTCTTTTATTAAACACAGCAAATGAAGTAAAAAAAAAAAAGCAATAAATTTCTTGCTACCAAGAGTGTCTTTGTCATGATTTAGTTAATTACTGTGAAGTGACTTTTCATTCAGATTTAGTCACATATTCTAATTTTCTTTAGGCAAAATACTACACAATCATCATTATGTTGATTAATCCACCACATTTATTTTAAAGATATAAAACACAAAAACACAGGAGAAAGTTTATTACAAGCATGATTTCACTATCTTATTGAACCTAACTCAGAACAGTGGAATTATCCAGCACTGAACTGTCACATTTTACTCTTCATTAGAAGAACTTCAAGATATTAACTAACATACTTCTGTAACCCATAAACCTGGATATATGCAGTATCTTAAACTATTTACAAAAAAGCTATGTCTTTTAAGCTATTAGGGAATCTTACTTAACCCCCTTTCATATAGCTGAATTTTGCATCTTCTTAACTGTGGATATATATTATTTCCCTATTCTTCAGCTGAACATCTTAAAATCAGCTGTTTTGTTATAACTGTGTGTTGACAGGATAGCCTTGAATAATTTTTTCAAAATAATATACTAACTGACCAAAATCCAAAGCACTGTGAAATGTTCTGAATATACAGTAGTATCTTTGTAACAAAAACATTCCAGATTAAATGCATGAGTGCACATTCATATCTTTGATACAGAATCCACACTTTCACATTGGGAACTGTAGAAAGGTACATGATAAGAGTGGCTTAAGGAAAACTTTTTAGCAAATATCTATTAGAGAGCTAGCCACACAAGGAAACGCATGGAAGATCATGGGAAGCTAAGAGAAAGCAGTTGTGAAAAACTAGACAATATAAACAGAAAAAAGAGATACTGGAAGAGCTAAGAAAAACTGAAGACTAGGACAAAAATACTGAAAGCTAGTGAGATAAGCAGAAGACAGAAATACCAGAGAAGAAAAAGCAATTGTGGAGAAGATTTAAAAATTTGAAGCCTAAAATTTACTTTATTCATTCATATTACAGAATCACAGAGTGTTTTGGGTTGAAAGGGACCTTTAGAGGTCATCTAGTCCAACCCCCCTGCACTGAGCAGGGACACCCCTAACTAGATCAGATTCCTCAGAGCCCCATCCAACCTGGCCTTGGACGTTGCCAGGGAAGGGGTCTCCACTACTGCTTTGCGCAACCCATTCCAGTGTTTCACTACCCTCCTTGTAAAGAATTTCTTCCTTATATCTAGTCTAAACCTACCCTGTTTTAGTTTAAAACCTCTACCCCTTGTCCTGTAACAGCTGGCCCTACTAAAAAGATTGTCCCCATCTTTCCTTTAATTATACAGCTGAATAGCTGGTTGACGACTAAATAGCTGGCTGGATTTACAAGAGCTCCATATGCTCAATCTCTCCTTGTAAGTACAGGAAACTGTGTGGATGTAAATGTGTAAATTTCAGACTCAAAATTTAACATTTTGGGCTCATATCAGTGTTTTTAAAAGATGCAGGCAAACCAGAGAGAAGCAATAACAGACTATTTTGAAGTGACTGAAGTACAAATCAAGTTTTTGGGACAAAGAATGGAAAAAGAGATGATGTTAGATACATTACAGATGAAGATGCACAGTAACGCAAAACCTAAGCTGAAATTAAAAGATTTTTCAGCTACAAGACTTCAAGCAGGTCTATTAAAATTCTGTTATCCTAAATATTTATTGGAATAAGGATCTCTTCATCCACAGTTTAAACCTGCAAACGTGTATGCAAACACAGACTTCTGAGACTACAATACTATTTGTTTGCATGTACATTTATGCGAATACAGTAATACAGATGAAAACAAGTATAACTGAAAACTCCTTATGTGCAAAAGTCTCAAGCATGGTATATATTTCACTGGGGAGGGGCGGAAGAGGCCAGGAGGAGAAGAGGGAGCAATGTGAAGGAAATCCACCTCCTGCTAAAAAGTGAAGAAGATTAAACCCAGTAATAATTAAGTTTCCACAAGGCCCAAATGAGGAGAAACAGTAAGTTTTTCCACTTCATTGTTTGTAAAGTTGAGGTCCGTTTCACTAAAATATTAGTAAGAGCCTTAATCTATTTTTAATGGTTACATGAATTTCTGCTGAGCAGCTTTGAAGTCCTTGTACAGTCTTGTCCATACACAGTTTCCCTACCAATTTTTCAAACATATGGCACACAGAGGAAAGTCTTTAGTAAATTATCCACTTGGCATTATTTTTGCCATATATTAACTTTTTTTTTTTTTTAGTAAAGTGTGGCAAATCAATAAAAACCCAGAAAACACTCTCTTCTCTTAGTTTAGATACTTCCACTTCCTGTGAACAAATTTAACAGCAGCCTGTTTGGAATTTCAAAAAAAGCAGACACAGAAAATATGTTCCATCCTGGCCCAATGTGTTCCTTTGGATAGCCTCAGTATCCTACAAATGAATTTATGTCTGTGGTTCTAAACATTTCTGACCTGAACACATGGCGTTTTAACTCTGAATTTTAAGGTGAACTCCAAAATACATATTTCTGCAGGTGATACAGACTTAGAGCTGCAAAAACCTCAGTTTGCTTTCAGTCCTACTGACTAACCTGCTTAAAAGATATATCCATTCCCAAAATAGACAAAGATATTCACCTGTCTTGAGAAGTACAACTGCCTAATTAAAACCTTCAGGAACCACATTAGAAGATGGCAGAACCCAAAACCTTTATAAAGGAGTTTTTTTTACTACTAAGTCAAGAACATCGCTGTGTTAGAGACCTCTGTAAAACAATAAATCTTCAATGCATTTTCTCTAATTTGTCGTGAACGTGTTGGTGTCCTTTGCCTAAGTAATTCTTCTCACGTTTGTCTGACTTTTCTCTCCCTGTAGGAAGAGTCTGATCTCCTTCTCAGGAATGTATTGCCCTTTATCCATTTTAACCCTGTCAACCTGGGGTCCAGCCTCCCTTCTCACTCCCCAGACAGATACGCACTTACCTATCAGACTTGGAGGGAATTATTCAAATCCAATGTCGCTACCATAACAAAGTCCTGCATTTCAGTAAACAAGGAATCTTTTGATGTTTATGTTCTCTCCAAGACAATCTACACTTTATCATAATCAGAACAGTCAAAACCCAGTTCATTTTACAAAAAACATGCTTACTACAAATTCAGCTTGCAAAATGTCATTGGCAAAAAAGGTCAAAGTTCAGTATTTGACACAAGTATCTGCAATCCTGTCAGTCTCATACCACACGATGGCAAGAAGGGATTTTAAAAAAAAAAAAAAAATCAAGTTCTGCTTTGATATGCAACAGTTAAATACATACAACTGATCTACAGAATAGCTTAATTAACAGTTTCACACAAAAAACTAATGACTTCGATCACAAGATAAGCTGATTATCTGAAAGGCAGTAAAGAAATTTCCATTCACTCTACAACTTCCACTGATTTTAGCTGACACAGAAGACAACAGGGAAAAATGGGATCCAAAATGTCAGAAACTGATAGTTGTCTTGTGTACTGATCAGGATAGAAGGTGTTACTTTATGAGAGCTCACATTCAGGTGAACTGTCATGCTTATATATACAGTCTAAATTTCTAGCAAACATGAGGTAAAAATGCAATAAACTCTCAATAGAATTTTTAGCCAATATGTTCTACTTCAGACTTACAATTGTCTATTGACTGCTTGTACTTCCCCCACATCTTATCTATGACAGTATTAGCAACAAAACAAGACATAATTTTTACTAGAATCTAGTTCTTGTTATTGTAAATTCTGTGGGTTTTTTCTACTAATTCCGTTTTTACTCTACTTTTTAGATACACTGCTTTAAAGTGAAGTGATGTCACTTCACATGTCCTATGGAACTTACCAAAGCTAGAAGACATTCTAACTTAAACATTCCTTAGGGAGCCACCTGTGACCCTTTCACTGGGCAGTGCACAGAGCATTAGGCTTAAGTCCTTCAAATCCCCTTTCTGCACCTCCCGCTTTCTGATTTCCAGTCAGGCACTCAAATAAACAGTAAATCTAACTAATTTAGTCTCTCCTCTCCCTCTTGAAATGTAGTAGCTGGTAATGAGAGGAATGTTTAGTAGCTGAAGGGATAGCCTTTTCAGAGCACCCCTGATTATAATATCACATTACAACTTCACCTGCCACAAACCAGCACTTTTCCTGTCAAAAGCAGTCCCACTTTCTTATGCCCCCAGGTGCTCATTCCTGTCCCTACAATGACCACTAAAACTCTTGTCAGAACACAAGTACAGGTATTTGTGCAACTACATGACAAATTGCACTAGAAAACTGATCTTGGTTACAAACACCTCAGCAGCAGTAAAAAAGTAGTTAGGCGTATCACAGACTAACTCTCTCACCATGCAGCTGAACAAAGGATTTTGCTACCCTCTCTCATGGTGTGACACTGAAAATACAAGCTGCCAGAGACACAGAGAGTATGAACTATTTATCTGGCAGCTGTTTTGGCTTATGTCAGTTGAAAGCATATGTGAAATTGCAGCCTCGCTTCAGAACTGTGGCTAGAGTTCAAGAGTGAAGCAGTCCGGGAGCAGATAATACTAAGACTGAGTTGAACTCCTGTTTAAAATTAAAGAACTGAGGTCAAATTTCATTTTCCTCTCTAAACAGTTATGGGAAACTGGCACTAAGGCAAATCTCATCATCGTTACACCAAACTCACCAGTAATCAAGCAAAATTGCAAGACTTTTTAAATGGAAATGTGCTACTCATAGCTAATTCAAAAGCCAGTACAGGTGGCACAAAAGAGTACAGAACCAAACTGTTTTAATCAACCAGTGAAAATAGTTTCTAACAGGTTTATTATTTCATTGTTGCAGGAGAAACTGGTAGTAATGCCTACACCTAAAATTACCCATGGCTTTCCTTTACACAACCCTGTTCTAATTTGCTTTTAACTTGCCAGACAAAACTTGTTCGGGCTAAAAATCATGTCATTTGTTGGCTCAAGCTGATGTTCTGAAAAGTGTCAGATACAACCAGTCCAACTACCTACAAAAATGCAGGAAAACAGTAAGTTTACTCATGGTAAAGAAGTCTTACAGCTCAGCTTTTTCATTACTGCCTCCAGTACTTCCAAGTTCTGGAGAAGGAATTCCTTTTACGTACTCTAGAATGGTGTCCTAGGAAACAAAGGGCAGTTAGGACTAAGAAAAAGGTTATACTTTAAAGTCTTAATACAAATTAGACAAGCTGTATTTCTAATCTATGTTAGTATTTAACATAAGCTTTAAAGCTTGCCTTGAGGGTTTATCTCAGTAGCACGTGCTAACAACCACTAGAACTGGAATTACCAAGCAGGTTAGTCACAAAGAAGAAAGATTCCTATAGTTTCACCTATGTCACTGTTGCAACCAAAAATCAATACAGTTACCATGAAGTAGTAAGAAAACCACGATCTTTGGGTCAAAACAAGAAAGAAGTCCATGAACAGCATCAAAATAAATACCATCATATTAAAATAAGCTTTCACATTAGGTCAATTTTTCATTATCACATTAGAACAATGATTTACTTACTAGACTAGGCACTTCAGAAAAGCTGAAACAAACTCTATTCTGGATGCTTCTGAAACTGCCACTGTCACTTGTGTCAGAGCTGAAGAATGAAAACCTGCATTTCCTCCAGTTTTTAAGATATCTAACTTAATTACACATGGTGTTAGACATCAAAGATTAGATTCTAGTAACTTCCCTTGCATAGTGATACCTCATTTTAGCAAGTTAAGTTTATTGACTATTCATCTAATTTAACACCTATTTATATTTTTTAAAAGTGAATATTAAATTTGCCTGATAATTAATTTTTAAAAATCAATACTTCACTTTACTTTTTCCTTATAATCACTTCTTCAGCAATTAATCCTAGCCTTTTTTTTTTTTTTTACATAAAATGTCTAACACCACAAGTATTTGAGACCCACAATCATCATATGATCGATCTATACAAGCATACAGAAAGATTGTTCTTACCTGAATGCTGAATGAGTTGTATCTTAACTCCCCTTTATTTAAGTGTTTGGTTTTTTTAAGATGGTGTGATTAGAACTAAACATAGTATTCCAAAAAATCATGCAACTTATTTACATAATGACATTATCAGATTTCAGTTCAAAGAGCAATTATGACATATTTAGCATTTGTCTACCCTTGAAGAAGTCTTGTTGGTACGGTTTTACCAGTAGACTAAAAGTCTCACCTACACTAAGATTATTGATATGCTGATGTGTACTGTCATTTTTGGCTTTTTCTTCCATTGTTGACATAACCTTTCTGATAACGTCTTGATAATCTTACCATAAAACCAATTTCCAATTTAGTAACTGCAAAATAATTTCAAGTTAAGTCTGGTTTTATTCCTTTGGATATTTTAATAACTATTTTGCTAAGTGTCTGCACTGCAATTTATCTTTCAGAGTCATAATTTAAATTGCCTTTCACCTACCATAACTCTCTCCCCTATTTACATATTTAAGAATAAATTCTTTCAGCATGAGACTAAAGACATTGACAGAAATTAGCAGCCTAATTTCTAAGGTACAGAACATTTTTAACTACTACTGTTCACTGAAGTGCCACAGAAGTGCCTACCAAAGGTTTAATAAACAAAACTGCAGGGAAAAAGAGTAAGTAATGAGAAGAGTTGGCTGTAGAGGGCCATTTAAATTAGTACAATTTATGTGTTTAAAACCATCCACCATCTTGATGAGAACCATTGCCTCCTACAAAACCCTAAATGTGTTGGATTCTCCTGTCTAACCATTATTCTTCTGAGGTTTTCAGCTTCATAGACCAAGTGATCCAGTATACATCAGTAAAATTTGTATCTCAATCTGGTATCAAAAGCCAGATAGCATGCTTTCCTATACAACCTACGTGCAAAAATTAAACAAAGCCAATGTTAATAACTTACTTGCAAACAAAAGGAGCTAGAACTCCTAATAGGCAAGGTAAAAGTCAGCTCACAAGAAGATCTCATCAGCATTGCATAGGCAGGTATGAGAACTCTATCCTGTAACTGCTTGTTAGGTAGGAGTTTGTCCTCAGGGAAGAAGGGTCACATGTTTAATAGAAATTAACTACTCCTTCTAAGGTACTACCACTATCCACATTTTATTTTGGCAGTGAAAAGTGTTAACACAGTTACTGAATTTGCTTATCACAAAAACACTGTGAACAGAGCACTATATACAGAAAAAGATTAAGATTTCAGTCTCCAGGTATCAATCTTATGAGGCTTCATGCAGTTACTGAACAGGCATAAAATCTTCAGTTGATAGGCCTCAGCAAATAACTGGCACCGTTTTACACCCATACAAGAGAAAGCTTTTAATGTCACATACCGATTTCTTTTTAATGTCCTCCAGATCTTTGAGTTCATTCTCAATCTTTGTGATTAATTCCCTGAGTTCATCAAGATTAGTGCAAATAAGCTAAAAAACAAATGAACACAAACACTTGGTAACGTGGGACTTGGAAAACGTACATTGAAGTTAAATAAAACCTAAAAGCACGTTATTACTTAGTGCCAACATTCTTTTTTTTTTGTTTTCTTATAGCATTATTAAATGTAAAAAAACAGGATTTTTTGAAAGGAAGAAAATATAATAAGGAAACACTTCACTTTTCAGACATAAACCATATCTCTGACTGTAAGCTTCCATTTCAAAATGCAGGTACTTGCTTCAAACTTCTGTGAATGACAACTACCAAATTGGTCTCAAGTACGGTTATGAGTTGGAACAGGTTTGAGTACCGAACAACTCCTTGGTGAATTGAAGTGTACTAGCTTCAGATTACACTGTAGTTATAACATAATTACACTTGTTGCAACTTTGTCCTGAACATAACTTCATATGCTTACACAGAGTATTCCTGAAAGATAACCTAGCCATGTCTATCAAATCTATCTACCTACCTATGTTTTGAAAAGGATTACATTATTCTTATTCCTGTCTTTAGAAAAGAGCTTTTTACATTTTTCCTTTCAGAATATGGATGCTGTTTTCTTGAAAAAATCATCAAACAAAAGAAATCCGTATGTTTTGGCTTACCATCATTTAGGACAATTAAAGACTTAATAAACTGGAAATTACTAAGCTGTCAGGTTCTTTCAGGTTATCGTATGTTAAGACTTGCTTTCTGAACACCCTTAGGTAGAAATGTTTTCACTATCACCAAAAAAATGTTGAAATAATTTAAGAATAATCAAATCCAAACAGAAAAAAACCCCACACAAACGCTTTTATCATACAATTGCTAATTTTTCATTTTTTCCCAATTTACTTCATAACAATATATTTTTACTTCAGTTACATGTGAAGTTTTAGATTTGCAGCCAATTCATATAAAAACCCCCTTTGTTTCACTACTAAAATACAGAACTGACACTTTTAGCAAAATACATACATTTCAGAAACCTCTAACACATTTATAAAATTATTTTGGAATGGAGTGACTCAAACTAAAGTTTACAGTGTTCACATTTATCAAGTTTAAGATAGCAAATGAATAAGGAAATTGGCACTGCCTTGCTGTGGACAATGATGTAAAATTAACTTACAAAAGGTTTCTATCTTAACCCAGAAAATGTGTAACTCTATTAGACTCAACATGCATGTCTGTCCTGCACTTAAAGAAGTTCCAAATATATAAGGTGTATGATACTGTATTATTATAGAAAAAGGTGCAAGTTTGTCACATCAAGCCCTTGACGGAAGTCAGTAAAGGCATGGGTTAAGATTTTCCCTACACAATTAGAATCCACTCCTTTGACCTGACAATTCAGTTTTTAAATTTTATCACTGCTTTTTATTTTCTTCTGTCAGACACATTTAATTCAGTGTACCATGAATCAAAGATAAAGCAGAACTATGGACCAAGAAAAGACACTGTCTTCATTTGCTAGAAGTGGGTGAATTTCTCTCTAGGAACTTACTTACAGAACTGCAAGTATTTGCAAGGAGAAGGATGATTTCACTACTGTTAATTGCATGCTGCCCTGGAAATATCAACACTCTCTGACTCTACCATAAAAAGCTCCTACATGTCATCAGACAATTCATGTAGCCAAACTCTTCACAGGTCCTAGTCCTGTTGTTCATTTTCAGAACAGTCACGTGAGACATAAGGATCCAATTTGCAAAACTGTTAGTGTGTAGCAATCCAAACTATATCAATGGGAAAAAAAATGCAAATATACAAAGTTTAGTTGTCTTGGGGCTGCGGGTGACAGGGAAGAGTAATCAAATCTCTAAGTCCCAATTTTCATCAGAAGAGGTGTACATTTGAGGCTAATATCTATGTGTCACTTTCCCACAGATAAAGCAAGAAAGCTAACAGCAGCTCGTCTTAGAGCATTTACTGTTAAAATGAGTTTACTATTTGAAATATTCCAATAATGTACTGAAAACCACTATAAAAAGGTTCAAAAATAAGTTTATATTTCTTCATTCACAGTAGGATTGGAGATGAAGTACTAAATTACTGAAACTTCTCTCACTTGGTTAATATCTCCCATCTTACAGAATGAAGTCAGCATTTTGAAGGAAAGATTAAAATAACAGTAATAGAAAAGTAGTGTGATGGTTTTGATATGGAATCTAGCTGCTATGTCTCATAATGAGACTCTGATACATGTTTCAGTGTTCTTTGCTCATGGTTATTAATTGGCTGAACTTAGCAATTCAATTTTCTGCAAACACTGCTTTTCTAAATTGTTTTTGTATGTTTTAACAGGTAAGTTAATGTGAAGGCAAAAAGGAAGGTATTAATATTACAATCTAATCATTCTGTCACATTCTGATAGTTCACTGATAGTTTCACATACTGCTCTTAAAGAACATGCCTTCCAATCATCTACCATAAGAAAAAGAATCTGAAGAGAAAAAAAAATATTTCCTTTATGACTTACCAAAGGTAGTGAAAGATTACTCCCTATTCTCTAGAACACTACACAGTGGCTTAAAGATTCAGTTTGTAAATATTACCATTAATGTACCAGTCATGTAGTTCGTTACATACATGCTAACTACAACAGACACTTTCACATCAGGCACTGTACTTACTGCATATGAGATTAATTTTCCCAAGCAATAAGCATCCTGTTTTTCAACTCAATACAATGGAAGCTTCAGGTATTCAGTATTTGAGTAAATTTTCAAGTTCAGTGTTCAGCTTCCCTGTTAGGATACAATCTCAGATCTCCATAATCTCTCAAAGACCCTGACTGACTCATAGAACTTCATGGAGGAAAGACAGGAAATCTCCCCTGATTTTTGTAAGGAAAGGCAGGGGGACCAAGCTCTATTCCAATTTGCGACTCTCCCATGATCCATTTCTCCGAATTACTAAACGAACTATTTATCTTTATGAAAACAAATCTAATCTGTGGATCTACTAATAAATACAAACCTAGTGTGCTCTCCCAGATCACTGATGCTTCCTCCTTGTCCCCCTTAACTTCAGCCAATCTTTTAGTATAATTTTTACTCATTTCAGTGGGGTCTTGTGCTTAACTTCAGGTTATCTGTGTAATCATTGTAAGTTATACTTTTATTTCCTACGAACCTGTTCTTTTATTGCTGCCAGACAGCCCCCTTTTGAGATCTGTATTTAATATAGACCATAACTGATGAAACTGAAACTGTAAGACACAGTTAAGCAGAAAAGCTGAAGTTAGCTCAGTTCCTTAAAACGTGCGTGCTCCTTTTTTCCTTAGTTATAGTACATGTAGGTCAATATAGCTACATGTGTATATACATGAGGGGAAAGGAGGAAAGACTGAGACAAAGCACTTGTTACCAAACCTAAATGTATTTTGTAACTGGAAAAGAAACCCCACCCAAACACATTAATGTCCCTTCTGTACAGCAATATAATGACTGTCATTTCTTTAAAACATTAAGGAGCAACAGGAATAGTAAGCTTGGAACTCGGAAATTCTTTTAAAAGGAAATAACACAACAGCCAACTAACTCATTATCTATGAAGCTGTAAACTCAATTCTCAAATAATTTTCAAAATATTAAAAACAGGACATGTTTTTTGTCTGTTTTTATTTAGTAAAGAGGATTTAATTTGCTTCTGCTTTTGTTCTGGATTTGTTTTTTGTGTGGTGTTTTTTTCGTTTTGGTTGCTTTTTTTTTTTTTTTTTTTTTAAGCAGCCTTGAGCTAAGAAATTAATATAAAGTCTGAAATCACATACGAGGAAGGAGTGGTGTTAACTGACCTATGTTTTACTGCTTTGTCCATGGCATTCAAACTGTAATAGAGAGCAGAAAATCTGTGCAGTCTGTTTCCTCAAAGGTTGTTTAAAAATGGCATTATAAATATTAGAATTAAGTAGTACAATTATATCCTGATTTTTTTTTGTTAATAATTGACCTTCATGTATAATTTGAGTCACTGCACATATTAAAAGATTTATCAATACTAATTTTGTCAGCTTTGATGTTAAGTTATGATTTTCAGGTAAAGGATCTATACTTAAGAACAGGATCTAGTCGTATGAAATAAAGTGCCTTATGGCTTTTCTTTTAATTATTTTCACTTTTGTAGGCTGCAGGCACATAAAACAGTTTACACATTTTAATTTATTTACTTTCTTTCCAAAAAGAACTGATGTTTAGATATGAACAGGAATATTCTTACAGTTATATCCTCCCTGGCATACCTCACAGGGCCTGTATACACTCAAGCCATCTTACCAAATATTTAAAAAATACATTCTCTCCTTCAAAGAGTTACATAATTTCATTAAGTTTGGCCATCCATGTATGTGGAGCAAAGTATCTCGAAGCATACTTTACTAGGCTCTAAAGGTCTTAGTAGTATTCCAGATATAAACATTAACATTTTTACATTTTAACATTTGCAAATACTTCTAACAGTCATACCAGTCCTGACTGTCCTCTTGAAAAAGGCAGATTAAATTCCCTAATAAGATTAAACTGCTCATACTAATGGATCTTAGGTTCACCTAATCCAGATAAAAAGCCTAGCTTTGATCAAGAGTCAGAATTATTTCACTATACTTTGATTAACATTTTACATAGGTAAATGTAATAATGTTAATTTTACACTTAGATAGATATGTAAATGTACCATTTACCTTGGTTAGACAAAAAGTTGGGCTAGGTTTTACATAAAGTTTTAGACAGACTGCTTAAATGCAGTAGTTTGATACTGTAAAAAATTAATTCTAACCTAACTGCCTACATTCATGGCACAAAGGTAATGTGCTGGGAAAAATAAAATTTTTAGACACTGTATCTATTTTTTGTAGCTGTCAAGAAACCTTTTAGTCACTACTATTAGAATATAGACAGAAGTCAATACACACTTAAGTATCAGTCTTTCTCAATATTGACTGTTACTAATCGATTTTATCACCAGAAATTCTATTAGCTCCACCTCAAACACATCATCATCATCATGGAATAAACTGATTCAGTGTGAGGCTTCTATAGAACAGTCATGATTTAACGTGGGTCTGTTGCTCAGAATAGCCCAGATTGCTTTTTGGGGGGAAAAAAAAAAATATAGCCAAAGGAAAACTTCAATCCAAGCAGGCATACATACAAAAATTATTACTTAGAACTGAAGTACTGTAAAACTTCTATTACAGTACCATAAAACCACATTATCATAATTAGCACTCTTTTCTTAGTGCTCTCTGATCTGAAGGACACGCGCAGATAAGGGGTAAAAGTTACAAAGAAGATGAGCACAGCAGCCTACAAATTTTTTGCAAGTCTTTCAGTAAATCATGCTAGATTTCAATTCAAGGACCACAGTGTCACACCTCAAACAAAACCCAAGTAATTTTATCCCAGAAAATGATATCTACCCTAAAAGTTACATGAACAACTTGTTTTTACAGGTTTTGCCCTGTAACAGACTTATCTAGGATCTTAAATACTGTGAAAGTGTGTTAGCTGCACATTATAAAAAACACTAAAACATTCTCTACCAAGAAACGGTGAAATGCACTTTTGAAAACGCTATCAGATTAAATCTTTTGAACTAGAAGAAGAAAATTAATCTTCGATTAGGATCTCCAAGGTCTCTATCAGAAGAAACCAAAGGACTTGTTTTACAGACATTCAGATTTCAAAAGCTTAAAACAAAAATTAAAATAATTTACCTGAAATTCTGGTATAGTAGACTTTGTGACACCTTTCCTCTTCTTTGTGATTGCTTTTTTAGATATCGATTTTTTTCCTTGTAAGATTAAAAGAGAAAAGCTTCATAATGCTGTTTGTTGTACTTCATTAATAAAACCAAATTACATACAGACTTGAAAGTTAAACTGTAACTAACAGATGGCCGACAGTAAGTCACGAAAACATGATGAATCAGAATTAGGCTCAGCAAAAGCAAACATTAAACTACAAGTATCTGTGTAGGGCAGTCTTTTTTGGGGGGAAAAAAAATATGAGAAAGTGGGAAAAAAAAGAAAAAAGAACAAACCCACTACAATGTCCATAGTATACCACCTAAAAATTTAAGTCATAAAAGAACATTCACAACACTGTTCTGAAAGGAGTGAAATCCAAAACTTAGGCCACAAACTTAAGAAATATAGCATCTTACCTGCAAGATTTGTTCTCTGACACTGTAAAGTGAACCACACATTAGGGTCTGGGACCTCTGTATCTTATAGTAAAAAATACCCTCAAAGCATAAGCAATATCTAGAAATCCCCAAACGAACATATCAAAGTTACCAATGAAATCAGATTTCAGATTTGTTTTTTCTGGCTGTGGCAAAACCTAACATTTTAGAAGGAAGCAAACACCTTCTAAGGTCCTTCACACCCAACTGTGCTATACAAGAACATGGATGTAACTAAAAATCTCCTTGAAGGTAAGGCAAGTGCTTTACTGAGTATGGTATCTGGGTTCACAAGTCACATACACTTCTTAAATGAAGCAGTTATGTCACCAAGATAATGGTGCAAGATAATGGAGTTTCTTAAATGGTTATTTCCATATTCACATAGTAAACAGAAACAAGCCCACTTTTGACCTGTTCATTCAGACCAAAACCATCACTCTGAGATCACTGCTGTGCTCACATTCAGGAGTCCTAAAAAATAATTAAAAACCTTTTAAAAAAAAATAATCATACAAAGTATGTGGAATTTGTTGTCAAATAGAATCGTTACAGGCACTTGGTAATAACACAAACACAGGCATATCTGATATTTGTATTAGGGAAAATATTGACAGGAATTGCGTTTAATTTTTTCCTAATAGACGCTTGCTTGTGTGTGTAAATGCATATGTACACATACGCACACATACTCATAGATCCCTAGGCATTTATATTTTCAGTTTATTACACTGTGAGGTTCCTGAACATCCTACCTGAACCTGAAATAAAATACACTTAAGAGGCAGGGCACAGGGCTTGAAGGATCTAGATTTGAAGCTCCACATAAAATCAAACCATATTAAAAAAAAAGAATAAACAAATCAATAAATCAACCCATAACAAAATTTAAAGAGCCCTCAACTACCAAAAAGAAACACTCACAGATTTCACATTACAGAACAAGTGATTAAACAGAGAAGTATGTTTATTAGAACATGACCCAAACGTTTTGACAATAGGCAAAAAAGTCAGCATTTTTGTTACAGATTTTATGAATCCAGCTGCACTGAAAATGTAATTGCTACTGCTACTGCTGTCCATTTAATGAACTAAAGCAGACATCTAATATAAACTTTCCTGACAAACTGACTCAAAAAGGAGCCTGGCCATATGCTGGTTCCTTGTTATAGCATAATATAGGATGTTATCTGGCAAGAACATGAAGGGATAAAAACATGGGGCAGCTAGACTGTCTTGCTTCTTTACAAAAAGAAAGATTTGAATATAATTAAAATGAAAATTTTCATTTTATGTCAATATTTTCACCATACTTTTCAGCAAGCATTTACTTGAATATTTTCAGCATCAGATGCCGTATGATGCAGTGTACTTCAAAAAAGTAACTGAGTTAACAGAAATAAACTCTCTTTTCCCCAATATTTCTGTCTAAAAAAGGGGCAAAAATTGTTAGGAAGAATTATAATTAATTACCAAAAAAAAGAAAGTATCTATTTCTTCCTTTGCAGCAGCATCTGAGAAGCATGCAGTAGGGAAGATATGGGGTAACAGACAGAGAAGAATTGAAAAAAAAAAAAAAATTACTAGAAGCATAAGGAAAATGAGCCTTGCTGTCTGTGTAAACTGAATCAAGGAAAAAAAGTATTTGAAAATGAAACATGACATATGGGTTATCATACAGTATGCCTACTAGAATATAGGTACCATAAGACTTAGGCAATTCCCATGCTGACATCTGCCATGAACTAAGAACATATCAATACAGAGCAGCACCACAGTTTCTTTCCCACTTTGTGACTATGCACACGAGGTGTCCTATGGTGTAGGGCCATATCACATACCAAAAATAAGAAGACACTACAGATATTTGCACAATGGAAGAGAATTAATATGTACAGCAAACTTTGACAAAGTCATCTTCTACCTTAAAAACATCTTTATAAAACACCAGATTGAAATTCAAAAGAAGTTATAGCAATAGTATGGATGATCTCTCCCTTTTAAAAAAAACTTATCTCTGGTTTTCCAAAAATAATATTTCTCATATGCCAAGTTTTAAAAGAAAAATTTTCTTTAATAGCTTTTCAAGGAAAAAAACCCAAAGATGATAAAGGAAAACGTCTATTTAGTATTCCTGAGATAATGTAGCTGCACCTGTGTCCAGTTTCCAAACTGACTTTAGTACCTAAAAATATCCCAATTCACTTACCTTAAAGTGGAAAAATCTCTGGATAAAATTAACCAAGGATCAGATATCCATAATAAAAATCTATCGAGACCTGCTAGTTTAGATTCTCAGACCACAAGCTGGCAGCTGACGTGTTCAGCAAAAACAATAGGAATGGTGAGGGATGTCAGCCTGTACAAGCTACCTGCTACTGGCCCTGCTGCATGTAGTATAACCACGTGAACACTTCAGCCATGCCACCACAGAGCTGTCACTTAGCTTCAACTGCCATGCTGAGGTGGGCATAGATTCTGTATAGAGGGTAAAATCACTAAGGGGTTGAACAGGCATCATCTGTGAGTGGCAACTTCTCAAACACTCCACTGAGGCCTGCTAGAGCTCCTTTGCCCATAATCCTAGGTAAAGAGACTATTTTAAATGGCTTACATTACTTACTTCAGCAGATGAAGTAATGTTTCTGACAGCAGCTAGATGCATTTTGAATCACAGCACACTGTCAGAGCATACTCAATGTACAAACATATTTAATAGCTGACTGAAAGCAAACAGTTAGAAAAACACACCTAAGAAATAAGAAAAAATAAATATTGCTAAAAAGGAAGTTCATATGCATTATCTCTTCAGGTCCCCTATTCTAATTCAACACACCCTGCTTGCTTCCCACCTCTTGTCCCCAGCTTTTACTAGCCATAATTTATAAACCACTTAAGAGTTCTATACAGATACAAAATAACAAAGTAATTGCAGTACACAAATTCTTGGAGGGGGAAGGGAAAATAGATTTCCATCTTTAGAGGTCTTCAAGTCACAGCTAACCTGACCTGGTATTTCATAGAATCATTTGGTTGGAAAAGACCTTTAAGATCATCCTGTCCAACTGTACCTGTCCACTACTAAACCATGTCTCTAAGCACCTTGTCTACCTGTCTTTTAAATGTGACCGTCCTGCTGACAAGGAATCAGACTAGGTGACCTCCAGATGTTCCTTTCAACCAGCTTTTCTATGGCTCTGTGACTCTTTGAAAGGCTGCCTTGCGTAGTATAAATAAATTAGAAACAAATACATAGGAATCAATAACTCAGGACTGCACCACACAGAAGGAAGATAAATCAGACAATGCTTTTGCCCAATCAATTTTTTTATACTTCTCCTTAATCATCTAAGAATGCAAGGAGAAAAACTCTTTCCATCAAAACAAATTAAGAGTTTCCCAAACAAAAACAAGAACACCAAAGAAAATCATGACCTTGAAATAGCTGAAGAGGCCTTCTTCAACAGCTGCAACTACATAAAAACTGTTGTCAGGCGTACCATCTTGAGGCACTAACAGTGACCTCTCTATCCAGCAACAGCTACAACGCCAAATTATTTTTTGCAGAGTAGAGGAATACTTACTTGGACAAGTACTTGATAAACTTTTTATAAATACTGATAAATAATTATTGATTTATTCTTATTCCTGTTTCCACTATAGAACAATACGTGTAATAAAGATTAAAGTTTTAATTCTTTTTATATGAAAGTTTGGTTTCAAATATAGTCAACACTTCTTTGGGGGGAAAAAAAGAAAAAAAAATATCTTTATTCCCCCTTGCCAGAATTATAAAATAACATTACTGAAAAAAAAAAAAATTGTTTGTATTCAAATGTATACTATATAACGGTATAAAAAAAAAAAAATCTACTTTGCTGTAAACAGAACTGTTCTAAAGCTAGGAAATGTCAGCCTATACTATTCCTGTGTAACCATACATTTACCCACTAACACGATTTTACTGTGCCACTATTCCTAATTATCTCTCCACACTGCCTTTTCCAACAGGCTCCACATCTCAGTTTGGTTTCAGTTCAGTGAGGAAGAGACTAGGAGACATCTTACCTTGGACAGAAGTTGTAACTACTACCCCTTTTCCCCTCCCATGCTGCAGGAGGCAATCAGCTCTTTTTATACCACCTCCAATATTGACAGAAAGCTAAGCCATTCCAGACATTGGGGAGGGGACCAAAGTACAGACACCTAAGGCAAAAGCCATCCCATGTTCAGTGGATGAATCAAGACTGCAACAAATAAGAGAGTCCTTTTCATTCTCTACCAGAGAATAAAGGCAAAATACAAAATCACTTTATTCTTCAAGCAAACTACAACAAATCTAATCCTGAATTGAACTGTAATTCAGTTATCTGTGGATATAAACCAAAACTCTTTTATTGATTTGAGGTAATATTCCTCTCCAATAGCATGCTACCAGCCTATACATAGAGCTGGCAGCATCAGAGCCCAAAAGCTCAATTTGCACATTTCCTAACTTCACCTGCTGAAGCAAGCCACTTAGATATTAAATTGAAACATGAACACTGTCAAAATGCATACAATCTGCAATAAAGGACAGTGCAGTTGTGTAACATTTTAGCTATCAT